CTGAAGCCATCACTACAGCTTTAGCCTCTAGAATCAGTGGTTCTCAACCTATGGGTGGCGACCATCGGAAAACACATGTAGCATATCAGATATTTACATTACGATTCATAACAGTACCCAAATTACAGTTATGAAGTAGCAACGAAAATAATTTTATGGTTGGGGGTCACCACAACATGAGAAACTGAAATTAAAGGGTCGCGGCATTAGGAAGGTTGAGAACCACTGCGATTGATGGTTAATTCTCAGTCATCCACATGTAGAATAGCTACTTTATGGGTCTTTATTTGCTGTGGGCTGTGGTGTAACATGGACTTACAGAAGACAGACCATTCCATGAAACCTGTACCGAGGAAAGCAGACTTCTACACAATTGAGAGCTATACACAGAAACAGAATGGTGGGGCTCTGGACACTTGGCCAAACCAGGGACCAGGTAATGAGTGGTCAGCATCTTGTGCACCAGGGAGAGGGAGCTCTTCTGCTCTTCTGAGAAAGCTTAGTTCTGGGTGATGATCGGCATCCCCTGTGTGCTTAGCAGGATGCTGTACATGCTTGTTGATGAACAGGCATCATTAGTTAATCCATTGCAGGCTCTAAACACCCACAAGGGATTTGAATTCCGCACTACTGAAGCAGCAGCAGAGGCAGCAGCTGTCACTCAGCACCTGCCACAGGGGAACTGGCCAGATTTCAGAAAGGGTCCTCTAAGGCCAAAGACTGTAAGGAAAGATTCCAGGGGTATTGGGGGTGACAGCTGGGGTTGGAGGGAAAGGTGCAGAGAGGAGCCCAAGGAGGAAAAAAGGGAGGATGTGCAAAAAGTAAGAAACCCTCCATAGAAATAGGAAGAAAGAGGTTAAATGGCAGAGGAGTAACCTCAGAATGAAGCAGCAATCACTAAGGGATGTTCTGGCAGGAAACCTCAAACTGCCTTTCCCAAGGACACCTTCCTGTTATTTTGGCCACCAGAGGGCTCCTCTATTCCAAAAATATTATGGAAAAGTGACAAATGTCTCCAATATTTTCCACTCTAAGCATACACCTGTGAAATTAGTAATTTCTGTTTATGTGCACAAAAAAATTGTCTTTGAGAGTTGAAGATTCAATTCTGGTTTGAATACCGTGTCCCTGAGTCAATATGGAAAGAAACCATCAATCTCGCTGAGGTTTCTCTAGCTGCAAAAATGGAGAGGCTGCCCATATCTTGCTACAAAGTCTAAGTCAGAATCAGGTGGGGGAGAAGCAGAAGGAGAAAAGGGCCCTAGCAAAAGTCAGACTTGAGGTTGCAGAGTTACAGACCACCTCTTCTCCATGTTCATATTTAATTAAGGATGAGAAAACCTGTATCTTGGATGTTATGTATAATCCTTGCCCTGGTGAAATTCATATATCTTTTCTTAGAAAAGAAAATAATGCACATGTCTTTGGTAAAAGGCTCAGGTTAATAGACCAGTTCTGTCAATTTCTAACTATCTGACCTTGGCCTAAACACCTAACCTCATAAGCTATGTTTTTCTCCTCTATAGAATGGGAAGTGTTCTTATCTCAGAGACTGGACACAAAATTGAATGAGATAATGCCTTTGAAGAGAGTTGGCAGATAGTAAAAGCTCATTATTCATTCACTTACGCAGTTCGCCCTACATGTGGGATGACATCACCAAGAGTACCAACACAATTGGAAAACTGGCACAAACTGGGCATGCTCAGCCTGAGGAAGAGAAGGCATATCTGCCTTCAAATATTTGAAGGACTGTCATATGGAAGAGGGAGCCGAAATTCTGCCGCTCTAAGAAGTAGAAATAGGACACGTACCAGGGAACCAGATCAAGCTTGCTAGAGAATATGAACTGCCCAATGTTAAAGCTTTCCAAAAATGGGGTGAGCAGTCCATGTAAAATAGCAGGTTAGGTCATTTCTGGGGGGTGTCCAAGGAGAAGTTGAATGAGCAATGTAAAGGAAGTTGTAGTGCAGGTTCCCGCATCAGGTGGGAAGGGCTGGATTATGTGACCCACAGGAGCCTTTCCCACTCAGGGAATTCTGTGAGTCTTTGTTCCCAAGTAAAGGGGAAAAAGAGAAAGCATTGTTATGTCAGGCTGGCCAAGAGGATGGTCTGTTTTCCAACTTGGCAGTTGTGGACATATACACTTCCCCCATATTACATGCTCCCTACACATCTGGCCAACACTGGTCATAGCATGGCTGGTTCCCAAGCCTTGGATAATTACTTCATGCCAAGAATAGTGTTACTCACATCAAAGATGGTTGATATACTAGATCCACTCCAGTGCTTGTGGAATGACTGGTTGCTGTTTATGACACAATAGTGGGTACCCAACAGAAGGGAGGGATGGAGGGCAAAGCTGGGAATAAGAAATGAATAAGTGATGAAGAAAGGGGTGTAAGGTGGGTATAGTGGAGCACACAGTCGGCTCACAGTTCAAGCCTCTTCGATCAAGCACTGTGTAATTGGGCACTTTCCTTCCCTCTCTTCCTCTATCTGACACAGAGAACAACCCCTTTTCTCATAGCCAAGGAACTCTGTAAGAGGCAGGGGTCTGGACATACGACTATTGGAAACAGTTCTATATGAGCCCCACTACAAAACTAAATTTCATTCAGACCTTCTCTCTAAAGAGGTTAAGTGGGTTTTCATGGAGTTCCTAAGATACAATGGGATGAGAGAAGGTATTCCTAGCTCTTGTGGACCAGGGGTTACAATCTAGAGAAACTTGGTTTTGAATCACAACTTGACCATTAACTAGATGTGAACATTTCATGCAATATCGAAGTCTCACTTTCTTTATCTATAAAAGAGAGAATAATATCTCTTGGAATTTTTCTGAAAATATAAAGTGCCCAGTATGGGGCTTGGCACCCAGTGGTTGGTGTTCAGATCATGATAGGTTTCTCTTGCTATTATGGATCGGGTATCAGTCAGGAACAAGGGACAAAGGAACTGGAAAAACTCCAGCTCAGATAGGAAGGATATACAAATGTATGGAGTCTGAAGAGAGGTGTGGGCATGTTTGCCCTGAAGGTGTAACCAAGAGGATGTGAGTCTGGAGTTATGTAAATGAACTGGTATCTGCGCCATGGCATAGGGTTGGGTTTGGGTAAGGAGAGAATGATACGGGTGTGCACAATATGTAAGGCAGTGTTGGTCACCTTAAAAAGGAACAGATTGGACCATGTTGTCTTACAGCAAGGGAGCAACATTCTCACCGTGGCTAGACTCTGGAAAGTAAATGGGCTGCAGTCTTATGTAAGGTTGCCTGAGGCAGGGCAAACATGGGCAAACTCTTAGAACCAATTTTGAAGTAATGGGTCTGTCGTGGGGCAGAGGATGACCATCAGCTCTGAGGCCAGCAGAAGGGGAGATGTGCATCAATTGGGAAGTATATTGTCCCTAACAGGCTTCCCTACACTCTGTCTATTAAGACACTGGTATTACTAACCATAGGATGTTATGAAAGTCTTAAGTGCTTTAAATATATATAAGGCCATTGTTCATGTATGGGGGATGATGCCTCCCATCTTCACTGAACTGATACCTGAATACCAGTCATATGATATCAGGTAATAATTGTACACATCTGCTGGCCCCAAATACAGATGATAGTAAGTGTACAATGTTTCATTGGAAGAATAGAAAAATAGCCTGATTTGTACAGGACCATGTGGGTCTGTGGCAGAGACTGGAAGGAACCAAATTCCAACTCTTAGCCCTGTTAGTGAACAGGACACCAAATACTAGATAGCCCTTCTCCCCCCATTACTCTGCAGGGCAAATATAATCACTTTTCCTTTGTGGAGGAGGCCTTGGAAGAGATCAGTTAACTCTCTTCAAAACTTAAGCAATTTCCTTCTTAAGAACTTGAAGTAAGAAGGAATGCAAGTCACCTGTCCTGTTTGCAAGAACATCCTGTTCCCCCTCCCCTGCCAGCCCACCATCCTTGATACAGCCTGAGGGTTCTTCAAATCCAACAAATTTCAGACTTTAAAAACCAGCACCCACAGTAATAAGTACATTTTATACCATGACCCAGCACACACACACACACACACACACACACACACACACACATACAAATATTTCATGAAACAATATTTACTGCATGCATGGACTTTAATAGTTCTATTCCATTCTATACTCATCCATTCCATTTTGTAATGCTGTTAATGACCTGAATTTCACCACTGATCTCTCCTACCTATTTAAAAGTCTGCCTCAGCCAGCATGGCTCAGTGGTTGAATGTCTACTTATGAACAAGGAGGTCACAGTTCAATTCTCAGTCAGGGCACATGCTCAGGTTGGGGGCCAATCAATGATTGGCTCTCATCATTGATGTTTCTATCTCTCTCTCCGTCTTCATTCCTCTCTGAAATCAATAAAAATATAAAATAAAAAATTGAAGTCTGCAATTGCTCTCCATTTTGTGGCAAATAAAGTTAAATTCCTTAACATGACAGATAAGACCATTTAGAATGGTCTTCATCTTCCATCTTCACCTAAGCGTCCTACACTCCCAAAACCCCAGGCACTGGACCCTCCTAGGAGACCCAAGCCCACTAAGCACTCTCCCACCAATTTGCATTGTTCATGCCCTATCCGCAGCCTAGACACACTTCTCACTGCAGAAAACATTTGTCTCCATCCTTAACAAGTTTCCCAGATATCACCTCCTCTGAAGTCTACCAAACTCTCCACTAGGCTTCTAGTCTTTAGGAATTCTCCTTTGGCACAGAGTATATGATCATCAGATCCTCCTTATCATAGCTGAGATGTCCTTCTCTGTTTTTGAATTGATATAAATAATTTGAAAATAAAACCAACCTTTTGTCTTTTCCTTTCCTTTATGATTGGCCATGGCCTTCTTCAACCTATTTTGACCCCACCCCCACCCCTCTATCTCCTTAAAGCTCAGAACGCCCAGGAGAATAGGCAGATCAGATTAGGAAAAAGGGACACAATCAAAATTAGTGGGGGGCAGACCAACCTGGTCCTAGTTTTTCTTCCTCCAGGCTGGCAGTTCTGTTTCCAAGGGATGCAAGCTTGGCAGAGGCACAACACAATTCATCTGAATCATGGGAGGCTGAAAAATGCAAGGAGAGGTGGAGAAACCAAGGCAGAGTGAGAACCTGTGGCTGGCTCATTTTGTAAAATCAGGAGCAGACAATAGGAACAAAATTAAAAAATACTACTTCACAGGCCACAGAGAAACCCTGTTCTCAAACAAATGCCCTGCTGCAGTCTCAGACTATAGGCAGTGAATGACCTGATTTACAACCAAAGAACTTAATGAACTCCTAGGTCACCTTTATCCACACACACTCACACACACACACACACACACACACACACACCACAAAAAAACACAAACAAACAAACAAACAAAAAAAAACCCCACAAACAACAACAAAAAGACCCCCAGGGCTCTGTAGCTTTCAAAGCAATTGGGGACAGTTACTGCATTTAATTATGGAATGTCAGAGCTGGAGGAGACCTTAAGAGGTCAATTAGTCTAATCCCTCATCCTGCAGCAAATGAAAAGGAGGGTGTGAATAGGCAAGTGACTTACCCAGGGTCACACTCCTGAGTTAGCAAAAGAGAGCAGTGCTCCTTTTATCAAATCACGCTTTTTGCACACAAAAGCTCTAGTGCTCCCATGGATTTCAAAGCCCCTCCAATGAAGCAGTGTGGTGCCTACCTTATTTTTAAAAGATTTCCAGGCAGAGACTCTACAGCCTCTCTCTAGTCAACCCTTCCTATAATTTGCTGCCACATGAGCTAATCTTATCCCTATTACCAAGAGTGCCTAAGCTATTAACTCATCAGTCACAGGTGCCAAATTGCCTCTTCTTCTGCACAAGATGTTCATTTAAAATCAAATTGCCCATAAATCCCTCCAGTCTCTGCTCATTTCCCTCAGCCCCTGGCCTTTTTTGGTCTAATTTGCTCCCAATCCTGTCTGCTGAGAGTCTCTGAAATGACATGTGGGGAGAGAAAGCTGGGCAGACTAGGCGAGTACCTATGGAGTTGTGCTGTGCAAGCTGGTGAGGATGGATTACAGGGGTGGCCTGGTTGAACCACACTCAGAGAACTGGAAGGATTCTTCTAGAACAACTCCCTCATCTTGCAGATGTGGACACTGAGGCTAGGAGTTCTAAGAGACTTGCTTCAGCAATTAGGGAAACCAAGCTGGAACAACATCCCGTTTCCACACTTCCAGATCAGTTAGTTCACTTCCTCTACTGCCTGCCTTTGACTTTGCCAATGAGCAAACTGAAGCTGAAAGAGAAATTCTCCAGGATTACACGGCTAAGTGTGGGGTCCAAGACTAGAATCACGTGCGATGGCAGAGAGGCAGCTAAGGAGAGAAAGGGAAGCAGCCCACCAAGCATTTCCCAGGTCAAGGCAGGGATGCTGCACAACGCCAGGGGGCACTGTTCCTACTGCACTAGATGCGCCCTCTGGCACTTGTGTGGCCTGCTGAAGATGGGGGAGCAGGGAAGAAAGGGCAGATGTCCTGCCCTCCTGAAACCAGCTCCGAGGGGCCTGCCAACTCGGGGGCGCCCACCCCAGAGTTGAGGTGCTTGGTCCCAAACACTGCCCGCGGCCTCTTCTCCGGGGAGCCAGGGACAAGGTCCGAATGCCTTCCCCCATTCAGTGGGATTATCCCTTTTGAATTGTTAAAAAAAAAAAAAAAAAAGAGCTGCAGCCAGCGAACCCTGCCTGACAACACCGAGGAATTTTTCCCAGGGATCGGCCGAAAGCTGACTCACATTTAAAGACTTGCCCAAAGTGGTCATGCCCCTCTGAGCAAATACCACAGGCATGTAAAACCTCGCTCCCCACGGCCTCCCGGCGGCTAGGACTCCCGGGCGGCGGCCGGCCTGGCCCCGATTGGAGGAGCGCCGCGCCGCTGGGCCGGGGCGCAGCCAATCAGAGCGCCGCCTCGCCGCGTTGCTACCCGGGCCGCGCTGGGGTCCGAAAGGGAGGCGCGGGCGGGGAGCTGTCACTGCTTGTTTCCTGTCCTGGGGGCGGGGGTGAAACGGGTGGGAGGCTGGAGCTGTTTGTTTAGGCAGGTAAGGCCTGGGAGGGAAGTAAAAAGAAAGGACTGAGCCGCCACCTACACTGCGAGCTGCCGCGCCAAATTTTCATTCCAGAATGTGAGCCGCTGCTAGCTGGCTGCGACAGAGGCTCCCCACCCGGCCTCGCAGACCGCTCTTGCTCTTGCTCTCGCTGGGCCCGGCTCGGGGGCGCATTCCTGTGAGCCCCAGGACAGCCTGTTTTTAGGCTGCCTCAGAACGCCAGTCCCCGTGAGTCATTTCTCATGTACCCCCAATTGCAGAAGACAGAAAGAGCCACAGACCATCAATAGAGCAAGAGATGTTGAAGATCAGAGTTCTCATCCTGTTCACAGTTCAGTTAACGTGTGGCCCTGACTAGTCTCTTTACAACTGTAGTTCTTGTTTTTTTCTCATCTTTACAATGAGAGGTTTGGCCCTATCATCTGTAAAGTCCTTGGCCCTAAGATTCTGCAGCACTGAGTAACATTGAGATTTGGTTCTTGTTCCTCAGTCCCAAACAATTTTCCACCCAGCAGCCCAAGTACTTTTCTTTGCATGAGAATGGAATCATGTCATTCACCTCCTTAAGAGTAGCATCTGCCTCCTTCCCCATCCCTCCTCCAGTTATTTCCACCCTTAAATCTTTGCACTTGCTGTTCCTTTACCTACAGCCTCAGTTTCTCCCTTGGCTAAGTCCTAACTCATCCTTCAGGCCTCAGCATAAATGGCAACTTCTTAGCCCCTCCCTGCAGCCTGATCTGAATTGGGTCCCACTGCTAAGTTCTCTTATGACACCCGTGGTTTTCAATCATATCACATGTCCAAAACGGTAATTTATGTTTATATTTATTTGCTTAATGTCTTTTCTACTAGAAAAGACAGAGGCCACTTCTGTTTGGTTTTGTACCACATCCCCAGTGCTTAGAACAGTGCCCCAAACTCAATAAATAGTAGTTTGAATTCATTCAAAAATGATCTTCAGGAGTGTAAACAATCATTGTACCCATTTAACGGATGAGGCTGTGGAAGCTCAGACAAGTCAGATAACTTACCTACATTCAGCCTACAGGTGTCAAGCCTGCCTCTGGTCTTCTGTTTCCATTCTGTAAAATAATAGACCTTCCAAGAGGGAGCAAATGGATGTTAGCCCAGGTGGTGTTGGGTGCTGTGGTTTTGCTTCTGCCACCCAGGGCTCTTGCTAGTCCAAGGAAAATTCCATTCACTCCTCAGTCAACAGGTATTTATGGAGCACCTATTAACGAGCCCGGCAGCGTAATGGTAAACAAGAGAGTTCCCTTCCGGTGCTTACTGGTAAGCATGAACCTAGAAATCACAAGCTACAGCCTTGTCTACCAACAAGCAGTGTGTCCATTTAGTAAAAAAATGTGGTCATGTATTCTGATATTTTGTTGATTTCTGTTCTCATATATGGTAGGCATTCCCACACCTGGCAGAACTTTTTTTTTTTTTTTAATTTAGACTGCTGTTTGTTTTTCAGTTTTGTTTTTTGGATTAGCAATGAGGTCTGGGAGGCAACCATGGTATTTCTAAAGAAGAAATATGCTGAAGCAGGGAAGCATTACACATGGCAAGAGACTTCTCTGAATACCATTCCCTTAGCTGTGATCTAAAAGCTGGCCCTGCCATCAACTCTACCATACACACACGACCACCACCACCACTAGGTGGCTGAGTCAAAATGACAAAAGGGAGAGGACTCAGGACCAAGCCCAGCTCTCCCTTGATAGCTAAGCCATGTGATCTCAGGCAGATCACTGCCTTTCCAAGCTCCAGGATCCTCATCGGACCCAAAAGGCTTTCCAACAACGAAGCACCTATGAAATGAAGAACTATCTCCATTTCTCTATTTTATCACTCATTGAGCAAACATTTGTTAATCATCTGCTATGCACCAATCTGTCCAGCATGGGGACACAACAGGAAACAAAACTATTTGTGGTCTCTGTCCTGAGGTGCTTCCAGTCCAATGGGAGGAAGTCTGATATAACCATCAAACAACCCAATTAATCATCCATCAAACAATCACCATACACATATAATTACCAATTGAAATGAATGCTAAAGGGTAATCACATCAGTGTGCAAAAATTCTGGGGCAGGAAGGTTCCACACATTCAAAGAACCAGAGAAAGCCAGCATGACTTGAGGAGAGAGAAGGCAGAGGGCCAAGATCCTTCTGGGCCTTGTAGAACAAGTTAGAGATGTCAGTCTTAGTTCTAAAAGCAATGGGGAGCCACTGGAGGGCTTTAAGATGAGGATTATATGTTCCAGTTTTTAAGTTGTAAAATATTTCCAGCTGAGGCATGGGTCATGAGTTAACGGAGGTAGGGAGGAGGGGAGGCCGAGTGGTAGTAAGAAGCCATGTTAGGAAGTGAGAGATGTTGAGAACTTAGATTATGATGATGGTGGTGCAGAAGTTGTCAGACTGCAAAGAATCCATCAATAATGATCTATTTCCAAAGCTATTTTCTCACCCTCCCACCCCTCATTTTTATCCCAGTAAAAAGTGCACGTCAGATTGTAAAACCGAGCTCTTTTCATACGTAGTAACACTGCACCAGACTTGATCTATATTTGCTTGCACTCATTCTCATTCACTCTGGAAGGTGGACATATGATATGGAGCTTAGGGCTGTAAATCTTACAAGTGTATCTATACCTTATCTCACTCGCCTTTCAGTGATCATGTGTCCTCACATCCATGGATCATCTTTTGGAGGGTTTCTTGGCCTTTCCATTGAACTGCCTTGCAGGGCAGGGACTGTCCTGGTCCTTTGACTTCCCTTGTGGTTAACACTGGAGGTTCAGAGCCTGCAGTGTGGATTCTGAGGGCAGAGCTGATAGGCAAGGGTGTGGTGAACAGGCCAGTTTCCATTTCTATGCAAGGCCCCTTCATGTACAGACCTATTTTACTTGAGTCCTGCCAGTCTTGCCTCCTCCTGCGTATTGTTCTTGTGAGCCCTAGAAATGCCCTTGGCCTGTTTCACTTTTGATTTCCTGGTACTCACACACTGCCTCGGGCTGCGGTGTTTCCACTGAAGAGGGAATGCTTCACCTGCTCCTTGTGGTTACATTCGAAATGAACCTTGTCTACATGAGAAAATGTGTGCATTCTTGAATATTTTGCAGAGCTGCCCTGCTTTACAATACCTAGCATTTTCATCGTACCCTTCCACTGACCTCTGAGGGGAGGTGTTTCCACCTGAAAAAGGCCGAGTGTTGTGTGTGTAGCTCTGGGCCACAGAACTTCTTTGGCTGGCTCTCCATATAGGAATCTCAGGGATTCCTCAGAGTGCTGTCTCAGAAACCAGTGGGCTTCTCACTAAGAACATCCCAAATCCCCAGCCTTCTGTCTCTCACAGCCCCTGGCAGTCTTTGGTCCCAAGAGAGTCCAGGTGAGAGAATGAATAACTCCTGGGCACCCAGTCATTACTCTGGGAACCTCTCCTCCTGGAGTGTGTGTAGCAGGGCGGTGAGTCGTCTGCTCTGTGAAAGAGAGCACTAATGCAGAGCTCTGAGCCCCGGACAGCAGCCCCTACCACCACTCAATGTGGGCAGAGCTCAGGCCTGGTGCCAGGGAGAAAGCAAGGCATCTGAGGGCCTATCTCTGTGCTATCTACCAGTTCATAAAACTATTAGCAGAATGGCCTGGCCCTTTCCAGTTTCCATTCATTCTTTCTTTTTTTTTTATTCATTCACCAGACTAAGAAGAGTTACGCAAGGGCAGTGATCATATGGTATTCATCAGTGTATTCCCACCTCTTAGCACAGAGCCTCTTCAGTGAATGAACCCATTCAGAGACCATTCACAGAGTGCTGGGCAAGGCCCTGGAGGACACAAACAGGTATGGGATGTAGCTCCTTGCCTTCCAGTAACTTACACTCTAGTGGGGACACAGTTGTGCCACAGTGATTTAGTGAGCTTTAACTATGGGCCAGGGCTGGAGTAGGCACTACTAAAAAATGAAAAACAGGCCCGCAAACCAAAAACAGGACTCCATCCCTCCAAGATACACTCCCACTCCTAGCATTGATTTATTTTTCTACCATCATCAGTCAAGGGCTCAGTCCTCCTTCGTACCAGCTCCTGACTTCATAGCTTTGACCACTCCTCCACTTCTCTGGGATCTGATGGCCCCCCTCGCTGTGTCGGTTTTCAGCACAAGAGGAGAAGCAGGTTATGTGGCGTAGCAGACTGGCACAGTCTGACAGGTTTGAGTTGGAGTCCAGTTTTCATCGCCTCCTTGCTGTCTAAAGTTGCACATGTTTTTAAGGCTTTCTGAGCCTCAGTTTCTTAATCTACAAAGTTGACAGCAAACATCCACAAGGCTTTTACACTGTGCCAGGCATTTTTTAAAATACAGTTTTTTAAAAATTTTATTTCAGAGAGAGGAAGGGAGAGGGAGAGAGAGAGAGATAGAAACATCAATGATGAAGCGAATCATTGGTCGGCTTCCTCTTGCACATCCCCTACTGGGGAACAAGCCTGCAACCCTGGTGTGCCTCGACAGGAATTGAACGGTGACCTCCTGGTTCATGGGTTGGTGCTCAACCACTGAGCCACATTGGGTGGGCTGTGTTAGACTTTTTAACTTTTTCAGTCCTCCCAGCATCAGTGACCTCCATTTTACAGATAAGAAAGTGAGGCACAGAGAGAAATCAACTGTCTACAGGGCCAAGAGCAGAATGTAAACCCAGGGAAGCTGCTCTCAGGGTAGCCCCCGCAACCAAGCCAGGCTTTGGCCCATCACCTTCTCTTTTCAAGCCTTCTCATTCTCCACTTTACATGCCAGTTGCACCCAAGCAGAGCATGTCTCCTGGTTTCACTGCCCTTACAGAAACACGGATTCTTCTGTCTATTTCTCCAGACTTTGACCTCAAGTCCAAGCCCAGACTCCAGACACACTCTGAACCTCCACTCCCCCTGGACTGCCACTCAGAGAAATTTCCTTGAACTCACCCTTCTCTTCCCTGGGCACACAGCCTCAGGTCAGCGGTCAGCGGGTCAGGTCCTCTGACCCGGCTCCTCCAGCACTCCCCTTTTCCCAGCCTGCCCCAGCAGGCTTTCAGCCTCAATCGACTCCTGCTGTTTTCTCATCTCCAGGCTCTCTCACACTGCTTCCTTTACCCCTTTCATCCCTGCCCCCCACTCGGCTCCCACATCCTGCCCTGGGGCCCTCTCCCCGGCCCCAAGAAGTCTGTCTCAGTATTGTTCTCCACTTCCAACATTAGCATTCTCAAAACCCACATTTGCATTTTGATGGCTCCTGTCCCAGCTAGACAGGGGTACACTTTGATGCATATATATTTTGGAGAGGAGAGCTTTCCCCTGCACAGTGTCTAATTTTCCACTTTGGTTCAAGTGCATTCTTTGGTCCTGGCCTAATTTACTCGGGGCCAAGACCAACTTTAGCCAGCACCTTCAGGCTACGCTGAGGCCTATAAGATAACGGAAAGGCTCTGCCTTGTGGGAGCTCCAAGCAACAGAAGTCTTGCTTCCCACGCCTCCCAATCCTGCTCGGAACATCAAAGCTTCTTGCAAGCGTGCATCTGCAGCTAGCGGTCTCCCCTCCCAGGCTCAAGGGCCTTGGCATTTCCTAGCACAACTGCTGGGACACCCACCTGAGATATGAACAATCTCAGGCCTTGAATCTAGGAAAAGCCCCTAGAAGTAGGCAAGGAGGATGGGCTACTTTGGAAGCCACTCCAGAGAGCCTAGTTACCCTGTATTTCCCTATTTATAACCTGAAGACCCATAGGATTTTAATGAAGGGATAAAGTGACATGGGCCCAGACTGTATTCTCATCTACAGCATGAGTGTTGGGGCTGTTAGTTTTTATGTGCCTCTGGGCTGCTGGGGTTCAGCCAGAATTAGAATAGCCAAGTGCCAAGCAACAGAGAGAAAGGAATCTCCTGCCAGGTCTCCAGGGGTTTCAGGGCTACTTTTTACAGAGGTTTCGGGAACTGTGGTTTGCATGGCATGGCTTCCTAGGGTTTTATCCCCACTGCAGAGTGATTTATGATTCCTCTTCCATTGAGAATCTCTCAACATTCATTTTCGCATACAGCTGAGTTCTGTCACCCAAGGACCCTACGTAACATATGTGTGGCATGGGGGTGGATAGTGAGGCATTTTGGGGTTGGGAAACAGAGGCAGACAGAAAGGGTTGGGGTTGCCATCTTGGAGGCTTCTGAC